CACAATTTATTCCAATGGTTTATTCGTGTAATATAATCAATGTTGAAAGGTATTTATGTTAATCAACATGATAATGATTCTTGATGATGATTTAAATTAAGCAGATTTATGGTTTAATGCTCTGAATATTTTTTTCATGGGTCAAAGTAAATTATTTTCATTTCAATGGTTAACCGGAATAAAAATGAAAACTCTGATTACCTATGAACTTTTTTTTTATATTCTCATCCCTTTTATCGTCTTGTTAATCACCATCATCATCATCTCTCTCTCTCTCTCTCTCTCTCTCTCTCTCTCTCTCTCTCTCTCTCTTTAGCTCTTACTGTCTAATTAGTGATAATTAGGAAATGAGAGAGAAGGAGAAAGAGCGAAGGAGAGTAAAAGTTAATTAAGATACTGATTATTCAATAACCATGTAAATGAATTTTTTAGTATTTCAATTTCCTGGAAATGTTCAATTCATCACTTTTTCAATTTGGATTAGCTAATAATAAAATCCTTTTAATTATATTAACTATTGTGTTATTAATTGAATTAATGAGCTTATCATTATTTAGAAAGTTAAGATTGATTGGGACCAAAGAAGACACTTAATCAATGTCCTTTATTTGTCTTTCACTTGATTATCATTATTAAGCTAATCACTCGTGAGATAACCTAACCTGTCAAATAATCACCAATCAACCCATATAATCAAACGTCACTTTGCTTACCTAAGTGCAATAAGATACATTGTTAATTATCAAGTTTCATTGGTTAAATTGAAGATAATCAATAGATATTAAAGTAAACGAAGTTTTCCTTTGTTTGGACAAATTAAAATACCCGGAAGTTTCGATGAAATAATTGAATGGGAAAAAAAGAAGTTAAATAAAATCTTAAATGATGAAATTTTATTTGAAATTGATGATAATAAATTATCATCGCCATAAGATTTTGGCAATTACTTTTTATTACGATAATTCAGAGGAATTGATTTTTTACTATGATTGGTTTGGTATTGATAGAAGCTGAGTCGATATTTCTGGAATTGAAATGAATTATTAGTTTGAATTCTTATTCTATCTTTTACTTGATTCCTTTTCTTTTGCCCTGATTGTCCATCTAACCGAGTTAAATTGAGTAGTTCTTATGATAGAGACAAAGTTCATTTATTGAATTTACTCCTCACATTTAACAAATCGTTCTGATGACTATTCACCATTGAAATTGAATTTCCCATGAAGAAAAGTGAAAGTAAGTTTAAAGGATTAGATAGAGTTGATTTAGTGGACAAATATTATATTTTCAAGTGATTTCATTTGATTGAGTAAAATATGGATTCAGATTAAGTGATAGAAGGTTAAAAGTAATTGTTGACAAATGAAGATGCTGATGATAATGATGTGATTATCTATGAGAAAAAGAGAGAGATAAAGAGATGAGGATGAATTGAGAAGATAAGGGAATAAAACTTATCCCAATAAAAGTGGTAAGTGTGAAAAAGCTCAAAAATAATCTTGTTCAAACTGAACATTCACCAAAGAAAGTAAATTGAATTATTAGGAATCAAACATTTCACCATTACACTGATAAATCGAAGAGAAGATTTTTTAAGAAAGAAAAAGCAAAAAAAAGAAGTAGAAAAAGGGATAACTTGGAATCGATCAATCGATTGAAACTTTTCTATGTTTAGTAAAATTTTTTACGTCTTGGAATTTCCTAGCATCCAGAGCAAGAGAAAAAAATTCAAGAGCAACATTTCTTTCTCTCCCATTCTCTCTCTTTCTCGAACTATGTATGTACTTGAATTTCAAGTAGAAAAAGAGTTTCGAGATGAAAGGTATATCGGCTGGTTCATTGATACAACCAATTCTCACTTTAATCATGAATCTCCCTCTTCTTATTACTTGAAATGAACTTGGCCTTTTCTTTATCTATCTTTGAGTACATGTGATAAAATGCACAAAACCCAGGATGTGTACTTTAAATTGTAACTCATGGAGATGGGAATTTACACCAAAATTCACCGGAATGTTCAAGCAATTCCAAGCAAATTCACCTCTTCCTTCAACCTGTGTACTCGATTCTATGTTTGATAAAAATCTCATGTGAAATAAAACTGTGAAACTATTGAATGAATCTCAGTAAATGATAAAATAACTTGACTCAACTAGAAATCATATAAAAGGTTAATAAAGGTTTGAATGGTTCAATTGGATTCTATGTAAATTATACACCATTACATTGGTACTTTGGGAATAGTGTCAAACATTTACTCGAGTAGACATTAAATGGTAAAATATTCAATGACAACTTCGAGAAGCTTCAATTTCTTACTTTACCTGATTACAATTCTCCAAATAATTAATGAATTGTGAATGAATTATCACATAATCAAGTAGTGAAACTAAATTGGAAACTTTAATATCTTGTAATTAAATAATAGGTCTCATGTGAATGATTATAACATTGGAGGCGATGAACTAGATTTCAATTTAATTCATCATGGGTTAGTTGGTTAATTAATTGACTAAATTGGTATATCAATTTGTTGTGATTATTATGTCACCAATTTAATTGAAAACTAGAACCTTTTTGACACCAGTTAATTGATTATCATTGTTTGAATTCATGAATTTGATCATGATCTTGAAACATGATAATTTACAGGGTAAGAATTGATTTCGTTACTTTTTTTTTCATCTTTCATTTTGATTGATTGACTCAAATTGACATGAGATGATATCACTTTCATTTCATTGTTTCCTTTGGATTATGGTAATATTATTATCCAATATTGATCATCATTCAAGTGAATCTCATTAACTTGAAGTGTTGTATATATATGAAGACAATAATCATACTCAGAATTTTATCTCTCACTTGATTTTGTTTCTCTCCGGTCTCATGAATTTATCAGCCTCATGAAAATGATCAAGAATTAAAGGAGAAAAAATATTATCAAACATTTACCATGTCAGAATTATTATTTTCACGACAAAAATCTCAGATAGAAATGATTGAACGTCGAAACCTAGATAGTAAATTATTACCTCAATAACTATTCAGTTTGGATCGTTCAGATGATAAAAACCGTAAGAACTTTGAAAACTAATAGGAAAAGAAAATGAGATTCAAATGATTTGATAAACTAACAAAACGAAAATCAAATCTCGGATAGAAAAATTCAACAGCTAAAGTTCATTAATCAATTTGAAAATTTTTATTCTCAAATGGTAATTATTATGTTTCGATCAAAAGCCCGAACAATAAATCGACGAGTAACTTGAATTATCTAGACATATTATTAGTCTCGATAATATAATAATACGTATATAAATAAATTCTATTGAATTCTTACATTTTCTTGTTTCACTGTCATGGTCAAGGATAAAGAAGAGGAAACATTATCATGACAATTCTTGGGAATGTAAACAATATGATGGATAAAAAAGTAAATAAACTTGATACAAGTTAAGATGATCATATTAATAGAAACAAACTGTTCAAGTTCTGTTCTTATGATTATCTCAATTTTATCATCTAAATCATGGAGATATTATGATTGTTATCATTCAAAGCCCACAAATATTGTTAATATATTTTTATTATCATTTGTTGGACTTTTCGAATTTGAGATTAACTAGGATTATTATCTTCATAATTCCAATAGAGATCAAGTAATTTATGGTTAATCTTTGCTCATTACACTTGTGACCACAAACTCATGGTTATAATCACAATGTCCATCAATCAGGCTACAATCAGCCTCATTTTGTCACCAGCATGGTCATCATAATCTTTTCGTATTTTCTATTTGCTCACTTACTAGTTGTCATAAGGCAGAGGCACGACAATGTTTACGTAATTGACAATCGTATCGAATGAGCTGACTGAATTCAGTTCATCCTCTGTATTTCCACTGAATTCAAATTTAACGCTAAAAGAAGGGCTCGAAAAGTTTCGAAATGAGCATAGTGATTGTTGCTGTTGATTCCGGACCCAGATCATATTTTTTGTCCAACTCTCACTACTAATAAGTAAATTTCGGTCTTATTCAAATAGCCGAAGCATAACCCATCCAATTGGTTAGTTATCAGCTGAATAGTCTTCGTAATAATATTTTATTGGTTAAAGATTATCATAGTCACGATTTTCCCTGATAATCATTCATTAATTTAAAATGTTTTATTACTATTATTATACATTGTAATAAAAGTTTTCTGTTCCACAATATAAATTAATCACGTTATTGACATTGATTCGATCAAGTGCTCCTAATTGACCTTAAACAGTTACTAGATAAAAGTTCTGTCTTTTTTTCTGTTTCGAGTAAATGTTTCGATTCAGTTGAATGCATGATAATCCAAGTGATTTCAAGGGGAATTCCGATTTAACTGAATTCTTAAGATTGAGTTTTTGTGTTATTATCTGCAGAGGATGGAGGAAGCCAGTTTTATCTCCAAATGTCCACTTTGAGATTGTATTAACTTTCAAATTTGAATTGTTGATTGAACTTATTTTACTTTCTCATATGGAGAAATGTAGAAATATCCAACACTACTATTAATAGGATTATTGGGTGTATCCATGTTTTTCTGTGTACAGATTAGTATGTTTTCATACAAATAGAATCATCATGATGAAGATTATGAGAAACTGGAAAATGTTTCTCAACTTCCAAGGCCGAGTAGATTTAGAGTATGAAAAAGATGAGAACTTTATCTACTGAAAGAATTGAGTTTTCCCTCCTAAATCTTAAAAATGATAAAATAAGGTGAACTCAGGGTTGTATTTACACGAGGATTACATCAAGAATACATCTCATGATACTAGTAACGTTTTTCCACCGATAAAATGAGTTACAAAGGCAAACATTTTCCTCGTGTCTCTACCGATTAACAAAAATTTACTCCTAAATATTTCATTATATTATTATAATAATAATATCAAATTCATGATTAATATTAAGTTAATGCTAACTAATACTGATGATTTGATTTTCTCGTCTTCTTCAGATTAATTGAACCATTCAACGTAACTTTGGATAACTTTTTTACTTGCCAACCTTTTCGAGCAACATTTCCAATTCTGGATTCAGAGATATTCTTCCTGTAAGTAAAAATTGTGAATAAAAAAACATTAAAGTTTTACATGAATCAATAATAAGGTTTTCTTTTTCAAAAATAATGTTTGCTATTAACAGAATATCATTATTGGAACAAGTAAAGAACTCATAATGTAACCATGAAATAATATTGTAAAATTATCAATACTTTATGAATTAGATAATAGATTGAACTGAAATGCAGAAAAAAAGTTATTACGAAATAGTTATTACCGGATGGATTTATTGAGTTTATTGAAATGGAAAAAAAAATTTTCCAATGATTAGTAAATGATAAAATTTTGGAGCTTTTTAAACAATTGAAAATCAGAATCAGCTACTATTGCACTATGAGAACAGTTATATCAACGATTGGTTTCGAAATGCTCATGATAATGTTCACGATATTTCAATTCTGTAAACTAACTGTTATACCTGCTCAGTATTATGCTATGAATCTGATTGATATGAATTTAGAAATGACTTTGGAAAATCAATCCATTATTTTGCATTCTAAAAATGACATTGACAATATTTGCATCTCTGTTTGTAGTATTAGATAAATACCAATGAGCATAGCACCAGATTCATGACATCTTGTCACCTTAAATCTTTGTGAATTATTACATGATAACTATCAGTATGATGGTGATAATTTGAGAAAACAGGAATAAAAAAACTTCCTCCACCACCATTAACGAGATAATCATGATGAATATAAATAACCAAGGATGTTTCATGGTTCTACGAAACTCTGAAAGAAATTCTGTAAAAAAAATGGATAGTAAACAAAGTTTATTTTCTCGATAATGTTTCATATTTTCCTTTCTATCTCAATGTTACTCATTGAGAATTCAGAAAATGAACTCAAACTATTCATTTAAAAGTAAACAATATAATAGTTTTTATTATTTGTTCATATTTACTTATAATTCATCATTACATCTTCATAATCATCTCTAGAGAGATTATTATTTTATTATGTTATAACAAAAAAGAGAGAAGAAAATAAATAGCAATTATCCTTTAATTTTTCATAATTCCTCTTAGAAAATGTTCATTTGATGGATTTAAAACTTTTCTTTTACATTTCCATCAATAATAACATCTACATGTATTAATAAGCAACTTCAGGTATCGTATTTGTCGTAAGGATATGCTACAGTGAATATATTTATATAACTTTTGCTGTGACATTAATATTAGCTGGAAATGATTACAATCATTACGATTAATATATTCATAAGTGTAATTGTATTACTTTCATATTAATAGATAACCATAATAGACTCTCTTAAAAGCTACTTTTAAGTGTAAGAGTCTAGGGAATTAAATTGGATAATGTTTTAATAGTATCTTACCTTAGACCTAAATTGTAGCTTCTTAAGTTTACTTATTGTGTTGAAATTGAGGTGATACGATATTATTATCATGTCAAGGTTATTCAGAAGGGAAAGTTAAGCTTTCAACATTGACAATCGAAAATTGTTTCAACCCTTGTTTATAAGTAAAAGGAAATTGTATTTTCCATGAAAGTTCAACTGAATCAGTAACTACACTGTACTAATCAATGATGATAACCAGACAGGGAGGGTGAATATTGACACACTCAGCACGTTGGAACTTTCATCAGTCTTGATTGCATGGGAGATTCTTATTGATTATATTTAATGTTCAACGATGATGATAATGATAATAATATTAAACTCAGACTAATAAATAACGTTCAATTATTTGTCTCACCATTGACCTGAAATATACTGATGATAAAACAACAAAAGCTATTCACAATCCAATCAAAAAATTTGATCAATTTGTTACAATTGAATCAATAATAAAGATAATCAATCAAAACCAATCAAATCAAATTAAAGGTCAATCATATATATCATAATAAATGTATATAAATATTACAGGGATTGATCATTATTATTATTATTTGACTTTGATGATTAACATTTTTTTTTGCTTCTTTTCATATTAATTATAATTGATTAGCATGGATTCCAATCAATACACACCATTTGCTCATTAGCTTTACTTCAATCAGCAATTCTCATTGATTATCATTAATACCATTAGGCTAACATTGTTTGGTGTAAGATATTAAAAGTAATGATTATGATGATATTGTAACATAATATGAATGTGAAAAAATTATTTTGTTTAATCAATTAATGTTATTGATAAATGTTGAAGAGGAAAAAAGTTTCCTTGTTGATTATATTGAGTGAGAAATAAAAAATAATACTGAATATTTGATGGATATTATGGTGAAAACAAACACTGGGTATTCATTGTGAGTGAATGAAAGTGTTGCTCAAGAAAAGTAACATTGAACATACAATGAACATTTTGCTTGAGTTGATGTACAATATTTGACTCATGATGATGATTATTTTGTATCATGTTCATGATAATGATTAAGATGATATTTCGATTGATTATTGTGAGAGTTTTTTTTTCTTTTTATCTTTTTCCACCCTAATGATAATATATTCTGACTAAATTGATTCTTTCTCTTTCCATCCTCATCATCAACACCTCTTCACTTTCACTTATCTCACATTTTTGTTGGATTTTCTTTTCTTTTTCCGTGTTCCAAGTCAAACTAATCCATCATCTATTTGATTGTTTTGCTTATTATTGAATCAGACAATTTGAGTTTCCATCAGAATCAGATTCTGTAAATACCATGGATGAGTCAACACATAGCATGAAATCTTTTCATCAGAATTCCGATAAAATGTAAATTCTTAACATCGATCAAAATACTTGTGGATAAAACTGAGGCTATGATTAGTAAACTTGTTGAATGTTATAATCAGACAGTAAAGAAAAGTAAATAATATTTTCCAACACCTTTAGGGTATTACTGGGAATTCAATGGTGAAATATTTACACTAGTATCATGTTTTTATCATGGGTTTCTGTCCATTGGAATTTTTATATATAACCAGAAACCCAAACTTTCCAAAAAAAGAAAGAAAAACAAATTCCAAAAGCTGAGAATTTTTTCCCCACAAACTATTCAATTCTTTTGGAAAGGAAATAAGCAAATATCTATCAAAACCACCATATATCCTGTTCTAATAGTGATAAATGTACTAATAATAAATGAACATTGAAGTGTACATGAGAAAATCTTGACTTGGATTTTGTAAAAAAAAGTTCAAAATGATTAATCTCCAAATGAATAATTCTGATAACTTTTTTCCCATGAACTTGGCTGAAAAATTCATTCTTTTCGATACTCGATGATACTCAACTAACCAAAGGGCTTTACAGTTACTCATTTTGATAACCATGTATACTCAGGATGAATAATTATTTGCATTATCAGACAGAAAAAAATTCCTGTTCATATTGATGAGAATTCAGCATTTCAAGCACGTTCTCCAGTCGCAATGTCACTTTAGATTCATAAAGCTTAGAAGTTTTCATGTGAATGAACAAGTAAAGAGTTGATCACATATTCGTAACTTAATTGATTTACTTTGAAGATCGTTTGAGGTTAAAAAACGAAAGGGTATTCAAAAGGAAATCGGCTATTGAAGGTTGGAATAATATTCTTTTGATATTCAATTCACAGATATAAATGATTTCTCCATGTAATTAGATAATAATATGGGACAAAGTTGAAAGATAATGGGATTATCATGAAAATGGTGGACTAGTTTTCTTCTGGAGTGAAAATCCAAGTCTGATTTTTGGTTAAAAATTCATTTTTTCTTCCCATGAATTCTGTCATTAGCTGATTCCAGGAATTGTAGTTGGCAATATGTCACTTGGCTTATAACTGTCTAGTTTGCTAATCCATCACAAATCCCTGTGAACAACAAGTTTACCATGAAATCTTATGAATATAAAAACAAGTTCAATAATAATCAACATGATAATCATAGTTACCTATCTCTCTATGAATACATCTTATAGTAATAGGTGTGAAATGTTATCTGTCTTGACAATCAAGGAATATAATAATGAGAGAGTCGTTGATAAGGTTGACTCTTATTCAAGGATAATTATGTTAATCATCATCTTAACAAGTGAGATTCATTAGTCAAGAATTTAATTAGTCAGTTAAAGAAGAAGATAAGTTCTGAACAACAATTCCTTAACCATTTTCTATTCTAAGTCACTTTTACTATTCGCGATATATTGAACTCTTGGAAAGTTTCAATAAAACTCTGATTAATTATAAGAAGCTGGATGAGCTGAAATGAAAGAAAGTTATCAACAAAATGATTAAATCCATTTACATGTTAATCATGTCGAAAGCTTGTTCGATGATTAGATTAAAAATAATAAGAAATAATCTTTGTACTCAAGAAGAAGTCAGAAGAGTTGTGGTTCTATCGCTGTTTAGATATTGATTGTTCTGGCATCTTAACTGATATTCAATCGAAAGTTATTAGTTTGATCCTTTTATTTTCCATTTTTTAGACAATGGAAATGGATGATAACTTTTGACCATTAAGAGAATAAATCTGATATCCATAAACATGGAAATACGAACTTTTTGCTCAGAAAATTTTGGAATTTTAAACATGCAAATATTAGAACAAGTCTCAATACTTATGTCTAGAACTTTTTTATTCTTAATGGAAATTATTATAATCGAGTGTTATTGCAACTTAACTGAATGGAAATTTCCTTTTCATTATGTTTCAGATAAGATTCAAATCTTTATCGTTTGAAAATTGTTGATTTTTTGGATAAATAGATTGAAAATTTAACTTGAATGTTAATTTTCCTTGTTCAGAATATACTATCATGTAGTCATCTTGATTCTAATTGAATGAAAATTTATCTAATAAATCTATTTATCTTTGTACCTTGAACAAGATAGAATTGTAATCATTGTTACAAGAGACTCTCAATCTAGTTCTGGATTATCATGATTACTTGATTAAAGTATTTTGCAAATTATTTAACTTGACTCATTATTAGAAAGAAATGATATCGAACAGAAATGAACTCATTAAATCAACTGAAGGAGTGAAAGGAGAGAAAAAATCTGACAAGAACATGAAAAATTGAGTAGCCAAGTTACTCGATTTGATAGATTTACAATGTAATTCAATGAGAAAATTTCACATAAATATCATCATGTTACAAGTCACAGAATATTAATTTGGCCGCTGGTCATTTTTCATGTAACTATTTATCCTCTCGTATTGATAAATGTTAATGTATTTATGATATTATACCTTGTGCAATATGATAAACCAAAATGTTGGTGACAAAATTTTGATAATGATTCAGCCCTGAAAAACAACACTTTGACAACATCCATCATCTAGATGACACATGAAAAAAACATCCTCACCATTATCAGGATCATTAGGTGTGTTTTTTTTGTCAAATTTTCACTTTTACTCTCTTGAGTTTAATATCCATCCAAAAACTGCAACAATCCCTTCAACCTGTTCATTCAAAACGATTATCGTTCCATCATTTGAATCGTGGTGAAAGTTACATGTAATATGAGCTTAATATCAAAGATGAATTCCAGCAACTCAGAATTTTTCACATCACTTCATGGTGAAAAAAATTCACACAGAATAACCTTGTTTACACTGTAGATTAGTTCAAAGTTTAGGGTTTCTATTTTTTTTCTCAAGCAAGAAAAAAGTTCTTACTAATTTACTATTAATATTAACATTACGACTATTCAATAATAATACCCTGTAAGGGGAAATGATGATGATAATCATTAGCATTCAGTTAAATGTAGAGAATCTTGTTAATGGATTGAATTGAAACTGATTTCATCTCTAACAATAAGTTCATTATAAATCTAATTACCATGAACCCATTGAATTGTAACATAAGTTTGTTACTTAATTTTATCACTTATTACATTTATATTCATTTTGCTTACCTTGTTTCTTAGTATATTAATAATACTTTGAGTAGTTTGGTGATATCTTGACAAAGTTGATTTCTGGCTTGATCAAAGTGATTTACTTGATACCCTCAGGTAACATGAGAAAATTTTTTCCAGTGTTAAGAACAGTAATAATTGCTAGTGATTAATTTTGATTGAGCTACTTATCTGAAAATGATTGAATCAATACATTGTAAACCACAAGACTTTCCCATTGAATATTATCAAGATTATTACACAACATGGTTTCATTCCCGAATTCATTACTATCTTTCAACCTGAAGGATGAAGATAAAAAAAAATTGAATGATGAGTGTTAAAAACTCATCATCATCCACATAATTATTATTATCATCATCAACACACTTTCATCATTAGTTAACTTATCATTAGCACTAGAGTATCTTAATGAACAAAAATATCATAATAATATACTGACAGTAAAGTAATTTAGTTAACATGGTTAGGAAAACTTCATCTAACATTCAGATAATTCAATTTCATTCATGAAACTCAAGAAAATAAAGAAAACAGAAAGAGAGGGAGATATTAACTAAGGAAGACTTTGAATTAGATCCTAGAACTGAATCATCATGGAAGAAATCAGAATGTTGAATTGGTTGATAGCATCAAGTGTAGAGTAACGAGGTTCACTATCTATTATTACAAGGGAGTGTTTGACTCTTTTGATTGTTGTGATTACAATTCTGATGATTATTTTTTGTTGGAATCAAAATTTTCGTAGGTGAAATCGAATGGAATCTGCTGGATTGTTCTTAGACGATTATTCAAACAATTTTTCAACCGACAATGGAACCATTTCCTTCATCTCTTCAAGTGTCTCTCCTTCCGTTTCCTCAGCCATGTCAACCTCTTTCTCCTCATCATCTTTATCATCTTCCATTTCACCCTTTGACTCATCTTCCTTTATTGGATCAACCTTTACCCCATCGATCATCGGATCAGGGTCAACACTTCAACCGGAAGCAACTCTTTTCGATATGGTTTCATCTTCATCACTTGATCAGCCTCAATGTAGTCCAGCAACTTTACTTGAAATGAAATTGAGCAATGATCCACTTATGCTGTTATCTGTGATCTCATTAGTGATTATTAATCTCGCCGTGATTGCCGGTAACACACTGGTCATCGTTGCGGTTAGCATATCGTCTAAACTTCGAACCATAACCAATTTTTTCATAGTCTCATTGGCTGTTGCCGATTTACTGCTTGGTATAACTGTAGCACCTTATGCATTAGCTTTAACGGTAACTGATTGTCTTGCTCGAGGGTTTTTAGTTTGAGACTTTAAGAAAGTAACAATTTCACTTTTCTCTTCAGGTTTTAGATGTTTGGATATTTGGTGAGATTTGGTGCCTTGGATGGCTTGTGATTGATGTTTGGCTATCAACGGCTTCAATTCTAAACCTTTGCGCAATCAGTGTTGACCGTTACTTGGCTGTCACACGACCAGTTCGTTATCGATCCATTATGACCTCCAAAAGAGCGAAAATGATTATCGCTTTCGTTTGGATACTTTCATTTATCGTCTCATTCCCTCCATTGGTCGGTTGGAATGACACTGGATCCATTTTAGCTCAAGGTAAAAATCTATGGGAAAAAAAACAGCGAAATATAAGTTAGAACTTTCTTGTTTCGTTCTTGACAATCATAGTACTTGTATTGATACTTTTTTTCGCCTTTTCTTTATTGTATGAAAGGTAAAGGTGATTTGGACCAATCTAATGTAGTGATAGCGACAACTCCAACCGGGTCGAAGTGCTATTGGAAACCAAATCAGTGTGTACTTTTTGATAACACTGGTTACGTAACATATTCTGCATTAGGTTCATTTTATATTCCAATGTCTTTTATGATGTTCTTCTATTGGCGAATTTATATCGTCGCATCTCGAACAACTCGTGCCTTGAAACGAGGCTACAAAACGACCAAAACAGGAGACTCAGAGATCGATGGATCTTCGGATAAAAGGTTAACCTTACGAATGCATCGAGGTTACATTTGCGAAGACAGTGGATCCAATACAAGCTCTGAACCTCCTTCATTAATGTTTTCATTGTCCAGAGATGTTCAAAATTGTCATCAACTTCATCCAACCCATCGGCATCATCATTCACATCACCATAACCATCATCATAATAATGATTATACGGCCAATAATAACCAAACCAATGCCGTTAATTGTACATCATTCATTAAAAATAGTCCCAAAATGGCCAAATCTTTTCTCAGTCCACCAAAATCGCAAAGTTATAATAATAATAAAGTTGAAGATAATATTTCTCAAGGGGAAATAAACAGTAGTCATAATAAGAATAGTGATACAAATAATGTCAATAATTTACACGATAGTAACAATTATGGTTCAGCCTCTACGAACAATATAAGTTCGTACGAATCCAATTGTCGTAATAATTTGATTGTACCAAAATACAGTCCAGGTGGAGGCGGAGGAGGCGGTGGAGGTGGTGGTGGTAATGAAGGAACCAAGACAAAAAGGAAAACACCAATAACAGTTTATCGATCACCTCGATTACAAGCTAATGCATTAGCACTTGAAAGTGGTGGAGGAACTTGTTATATTGACGATTCTGATAAAGTTAAGCGCCGATCGACTTGTTCACTTTCTTCATCTTGCTCTGGACTTGGTGGATTTAGTGGTTCTCCGAATCATGATCGAACTGGTTCAGGTCATTCTAACACTTCTAAATCGGTTCGTTTCTCCCGACGAACCAATGCCGGTAAATGGCAAACCCGTCGTCTACTCGCCGAAACAAAAGCTGCCAAAACCGTCGGGATTATCGTAGGTGGTTTTATAATCTGCTGGTTCCCTTTTTTTACCATCTACCTGATCCGTGGCTATTGTAAAAATCAAAACTGTATTCCACAATTACTATTAACCATATTTACCTGGTTGGGTTATGCTAACTCAGCGGTTAATCCGATAATCTATGGTCTTTTTAGCCGTGATTTTCGTCGAGCTTTCAGAAATATTATCTGTAAATGTAAATATTCCGAAGAGATTGGAGTTACCTCATTAATCCGTCAAATCCATTTACCTAATCTATTTGAGGAAGATAATCATGATGATTGTATTAAAACGGATTCACAAGAGGATGTCCACTGATAACTCACCGAATTTAAATTTAGCCAAAACAAATTGACGATAAAATAGAAAATTTTTAACTCTCCAATCCAAATAATTAACTTTAATTTAATTTCGATAATTGTTTCTCCAATTTGTTATCTTTCAAATCACTTTTACATTTTCAAATGTTTCATCAATTCGCTATCCACCTTAATCATTGATCATTTTTTTTCTTATTGTAATTATTATAAATAATAAATTATTTTAAATTCTTGTTATTGTTTTGATCATTCGAACTTTTTTTTCTCCAATATTATTAAAATTGCCAGAACAAACTTAGAGAAACTTATTTTCTATTTTAAATTAATGTTCATCATTCCATTGAAATTTAATGAAATCATCATCAAGAGTGTAAGAAATCAGTTCAATTTAAGCGTTTTTATTGACCCAAATGATGATTGTCTTAACTAAAATTGTCGTTAGATAGGTGAAAGTAGAGAGACAGAAAACTGTCAATCTACTTAAATTAAAGACACAGAATAAAAAGTAGAAAACAATCAGGTAACAATAAACATCTCTGCCTGCTAATCTCCTTAAATTGACTCTCGGTGGTAGATTAACAATTTTTCGCTGAGGTGGATTACATCCATCAGATGAATATTTTTCTAGGCAATGATATGATGTCGGTGGTGATAAAATCCACTGACTAATCCAACCAATAGGATCATCTCGATTGTACAATTCAGTGAAAAGAGGAAAATATTTATCATTGATTAATTTTGATATCATGATGAACATTGAGACAAGAAAACTTATCTCATATGAACGAACAGGTTGAAGATCAGGATTTCCTTGGTACTTTATTTCACAGATACCACCAGGTTTATCCATTGGAAGTGACCCTTGTCCAGCTCGTCTCTGAATTAAATTGTTTCCATCATTTGTAATATTAGAAGCACCATCACCACCTCTTTAGGAGTCATCGAGTTTAATGATTGTTGAGTTAATGAGTGATTAAAAGGCACATTGTGAGCAGATTGTTGGGTGAGACACATCGGTGAGTCAACAGCGAATGAGCTTTCTACCGAGAATTGAGTTGTTTCCGCTTCCATGAGAGACAAATCGATGTCAAATATGTTTGCTATTCTTTCACTCAGTAAACCAGAATAATTTTCTGTTTTAATTTTATCAGAAATTTGCTGACGATCATCAAGATCATATGATTGATCTTCACCAGGATTAAAGGTTTTCATCAAGCTTTTAAAGCTAAACGCTTCTTCTGAGTTCGAAGTTGATGTATGAGAACGAATATATTCCGAGAGCTCTTGTTTGGTTAAAAGAATTTTTCTCAATAACATTGATACTTCACTTCGAACTTGATCAGAGAATAGTCGAATGTAGGTAAAATCATTGGGTTCACATTCCAATAATGGATGACGATAAATTAGTCCATGTGAAATCGGTGAATGTCCAGATACACGATAATTGGTGATCATTGATAGTCGAGAGTTCATTGATTTGTTGGGTGACATGTTGGATTCAAAGTTTTTCTCTGAATCTTTGATCATGGAAACAAGATTAACTTGATGATAAACTTTAATCACTCGGAATAACATGAAAGAATTGATTGATGAGCTTAAGTCTAACCGCATGAAACGAGGAATTAGCTGGCGAAATATGACCGTATAGAATAGTAGATTATCATCAACAAATTGTTTCCACGACGAATCAATTGGTTGATTATCTCCAGAATCAGCACCTTCATCACTCGGACGACCACTTGATGGATCAATATATCTCCAAGGCTGAATGAAACTTAACCAAACCTCTAAAGGTAATCTAAAGGAAGCATCAAGAGGCCATTTGTCGAACGAAACTCTGATGAAACTATAAAATCGACGAAGAAAAATATACTTGTTGCTCCAAATGTTACTTTTCAGCTCGTCCAATTCATGATTTTCAAACATGGAAACATTTAGAGGAAGCTTTTTGTTGATGAGCGAATTTACAAAATAATGTAAATGTTTAACCAGAATTCTAACACATCTCATATGATCTTGATTGTGAGCCAACAGGGGTTGGAGTTGAGTGTGTGAAGGCATCTTTTTGATTATGTGTTGAGGAACTTTAATGTTTACCCAAATTTCAACCAAAATATTTAAAACAGTTTCAGCTTTACTGACTGTTGAGCCGAGGGGATCGAAAGCCTTTAAATTGTTGACTTGATTTGAAAAAGAAGCTTCATTTGGTCGATTGAGAAGCTTTTTCAGGTTTAGTAATGATGATTTAGGTAGGTTGAGTGAAGAATTGGGCTGACTTGAGTTGAGATGGAAAGTTGATGAAAGGGATTGCCAGAGAGATGTTGGAGACTCTGGTATTAATTGTCGGGAAGATGGAGAAGTGGCTGAAGTTGGCGAGACGGGAGAGTTTTTGACTGTAGACGAGTCCAAAGGGACGAAATAATTGAGATACATCTCAATGAGAGTAATATAAAGAGTAGAAGCGGGATTTCCATTGTCCAGGTTTCCAGTGAACCGGCAACAAGTGTGGACATAGTGAGCTAAGTGAAAGAGAAAGAACTCAAATGCATTAAGAGAAACACGCGTTGGAGCCAAAGATGTTCCGTCAGAGACCAATCGGTTGAGATAAAATTCTGGGGGAAGTCCTTCTTCGATTAAACATCTACTGGGAAGCTGAAAATAAATGAAAAATATTAAAGACACAAAAATGATGATAAAACCATTGAATATGATGTTCACTTACAGGAAGATGAGAGACAGAAAAATGAAAGGCAGTCAATTGATCTTTCATCAAATATCTTATCCATTGGAAAAGTGGACCCTCTGGATGCATTAAACCAATCAAACTATGGAACTCAATCTGTTGATTGTTACTATTAATAAATTTAAGATTTATGTTCATGTCATTTTGATATCCAAAAGCAAATAAATGCTCAACTAGACTGGGAAAACAGTTTTGAATATCCAGCTAAGAGACAACAGAAGAAACAGAGAGAGATGATAGAGAGAATTAAAATTGGCAATTAGTAACAATCATTAATGATCAAAAAAGAGATTCTTACCTTGTAATTTTCCGAAATACTTTCCTGAATTAAACAGCTCAAGTCTTGACATTTTTCCACAAGATTTGACCGTTTCAATGCGACCATAAAACGAGCTTCAAACTGTGAGACAAAATGAGAATTGAAAAGATTTTTCAAAAAAAAAACTCTTACACAGAATGTAAATATACTCACATTGGTATTCATAGTTGAGTGAGACAAGAAGGTTAGCAAAAAGGCAACAATCAACAATCAGAGTAAACAAATAATTTATCCCGTTAATTATCCGTTAATTAATAACTTAAACAAGAAATCACAATGGTGAAAATTGAAAATGAAAAAAACAACAATCAACTGTTGCCATTGGTTACCAACGACCTGGTGACCAATAGTAAAGAAGCTAAAAAAGCGCCAAATACAAATTTAGATTTTAAATAAAATTTTCTCTCCAATAGTAACAATTAAGTGTATTGTTATTCCACAATAGTTGATTTAATTAATTACTGCACTAATTAAATGAGGCGAAAAGTTGAAGAAAGATTGTGAAAAGAAATGGTGAATTTATAATACAATTGCTAGTTGAAAAAAGAAAATAAAAGTGAAAACAAATTAAATTATCTTTTGTTTCAACTTTTATTCTTTATTATTATTTTATTGTTGATGTAATTAACTGAATCGATCAAATTGTTATGAATGAAAGAGAGAGAGAGAGAGAGAGAGAATTGGAAGGGAAAAATGTAAACAAAAGAAAAGTAAATTATAGCGAGTGAAAAGAAATTGGTAAGATTAACACTCCAATGATTTTACAATAATACAATCAAACGAAGATGATTTAAAGGAGGAGAAGATGATGAAGATGATGATGGAAAAAAGGATGAAGATAATTAGAGAAAAAAATTGATGAAAAAAGAGATGATGCTCATGAATCGAGTTTTTTTGTATCTTTTCCATTCTTTGGCATCTTCATGATGATCTTGATGAATTTCAGTTGAATGAAAGATAATAATGATAATGGTGAAAACAAGGGGAGGGTTAAGGTTGAGGTTTCATGATGATGATGATGATAAAGATGAGGTGTTATTTTGAAATGAGCCATTGAATCATTTTCAGCTCATCTGATTTTATTGTGAAACTTTCAAGTTTATTGAGTTTTGATTCATCATAATTTTTTGAAAATTGATTGTGAACAATTCAAATTTTACATAATTAACTGTGTGTTAAAATCAGTTATTATAAATTAGACAAATTAGTGATTATTTGACTTGTGGATAGTTAAACTAATTGTGATCATTTGGACCATTTTAATTTCGTTGAGATGTTTTTCTGGAATAGTTTCTGATCAACTTTAACTGATAACCTAAAAACTTTATAAATCAATCACTCATCATTGTGAAGAATCAGTTAATTGTGATTAAATTCTTGTGAGCTTTATATCTTGCGATAATTAGAAATGGTAAGTTAAACATGATACAAATCCCCAAGTTACAATTAGAATCATCAGTGGAATTTATTTGCATAGATTGACAATGAACGGTTTGATCGTCAATTCATCACAATTTATATTTTTAATTAATTTACTCGCGCAATTACTGATAATTAGTTAAAGATAAATCAAATCGGATGGCCATTTGAAAAGATAATACCAGTTAATTGAGAGGACATTGATTATTATTATCATATCTTTGGATTAACTTAATCTTTCATTGATTATCATTATCGTTGCGAGTAAATTTAAAGTGGTTGCAAACTCAAAGTCGATGGCTGTATAAAATAAAGACGATAATTAAGGTTTGCCGTAAGAATGATTCACAATCACATAACAATTTATTGTTAATTGTTCATAAAGTGATTATAAATCGTGAAATCTACAGACCGAATATTAATCGATCGTATTATCGAGTTCGATGGCAACTCACCCAACTCTTAATCCTCGGAAAATTTTATACTGAAAGTTAGCTTTAGATCGTCAATTATTTCATTGGATAATTTAGTCTGTTTATTTGATCAATTAATTGATTATTACAATTTCATTTCAACTCAATGAATGCTCATCTTGAATATTCAACGTTCCAATGTTTATCTGTTATTAGATTCTGTTAATTATCATCGATTAAGATGAATCATCATTTTGAACAATTAAGATCAATAAGTTAATCGTTTAGCTTTTCTTGAAATTGGCGACAAACATCATTAAGATCCCACTGTTTTCAAGAACAAACTGATTACAACAAGATGCGACAATCAATAGATTGTTAAGAGAGAGAGAGAGAAGAAAAGATAATAGAAAGTTAATTAGTTGGAAATTAAGGGAAAATAATTAAGAGATTAATAATTAACATCTAAACTTACAAATAGAAACGATGATTGTCTCATTATGAAAATATGAGTAACACTGAATCCAATTTCTCCATTTTCGATTCTCTCTTGAGTCGAATTAATCTAAATTAATTAAACAGTAATTAATTTGTTAATCATGATACACAAAAAAAGAAGAGTTAATTAATTGAAAACAATCAATGAAACTCAACTCACCCAAACAGCAATCGCTGGTGGGATAATCTTAACACCCTGAGCTTGAATGGAAAAGTTTTTCTCTCGAATATCCATCAACTGAAAGGTGATAGAAAAGGTTAATTAGTGTGAGAAATGATTGATTAATAATTGAAATTTTCCCATGAATAATAATAAGTGACTTACTTTATCATGAGCTGCGGTTCCAGCAAAATGTAACAAGGTGAGATTAGAATAAGCTGTTGTTGCTAATCCAAGGCAAATAAATCTCATTGCTGATGACCCACTTTCAATGAAAATACCAAGAAATAGAGTGAAATTTGCAAGAAATGTTGATATTAAGTATCCAACCCAAACAACCGGACCAATGTCAGAATTTACTGACCGCATCAGATTCAGGATCTTATTTTGTTGCCTCAGATAATCTTTAATCAAATCTCGATGTTTACTTACATCCGATTGAATTTTATCTCCTAAATCATCGATACACGAAAGTGACATTGAACAATAAGTGATGGCACTTATGTAAACTGTGTAGTACCAGAAGAGAGTGTAAACATTTATTCCCAAAGGTATACAAATGATTAGAACCCAAAATGAGAACCAGGAAAAATTTTCTAACGACGAAGTAACTTGACTGTTTTGTAGAGCGAAAGTCGAGCAAAGTGCGAGAAGAGCTAAGCTAACAATTGGTATTCCAATGAAATAGAATTGTAATGCAATGTAAAAAAGAATTTGAAAACTTTTAACCTTTGCTTTAGTTAATTGTTTTCGAATACTTTCAAAGCCTTCGTTTTTAATTTTCTCGTAAAATTTAAGCATCAACATTGGCTTACGAACTTCACTTATATGAGCACCAATTCGAGAGCAAAAGAATAGAATATAATAGACAATAATAATCGAATGGAGAAAAGTTTTTCCTTTCGCTTCACTGAAAAAATCTCCAAGGTAAAATGTTTCCTCTGGATCGGTGACCGCGATCAAGCGAACCGCTCTTGCGACCACGATAACGAACCAAATATGGAATAAGATGTGAATCGTGTGGTTATACCAGCCCAATTTACCTTTCTGTTGATATCCTCGAATACAAGATTTCGTCGTTTTACCAATATTTTCCAATCGAACAACTTTCGACTTGAAACTTTCCACCGAAAGTTGTTGACGAAAAATCGAGTCCAACCAACTCGAAAGCTCCTTAATTGTTCCCATTGATTCACTTTTAACACTTTTTTTCAAACTAATTAACAAATAATCTACCACAATTTAAGTTGATTGCAAAGTGAATGAGTTAATCATCACCGATACAATTGAGGCGATTGTTTAGACTGTTAAGTTGATCGACAATTTAATCAAGTGATTAGATCAATTTCTCGGGACAATTATTCATTTTCTTATAACTCAATTTCCTTACACAATTACCTCCAATAACAATTATTATTGTAATTAACTCGGAACAACAGTTGAGTTACAAATATAACGAAAAGCATAATAATACAATTTAATTAGAATAACAATTAACTAGGTTACCTTGATAATTATCGTTTCTCATCTTAATAATTAACCATTATTAAGTGTTAGTAATAGTTACTAAAGAAACTATATCGCACAACTGATACAAACTTTTTAAATGATCTCAACAATTAACGATTAATTTTGTTCATACAAATAAATTAGTCATAATTGTTTTGTTATTATCATTGAATTTACCATGTAATACAAATGAAAATGTAATCTTGAGGAAAAGAGATGAAATTAATTTATCGTAACAATAACACTTTGGTTAAGACAATTAACTTACAACATTAATTAGTTTAATTGACTTTGATTCTACTTTTCAATTGTCACAAATAATAATAGAAACCATTGTTATCCATCAAAGGTAATTATCAATGAAATGAATTCAATTCACTCAATTGTTTCCAAATGACCTTTGCGGTTCCAATTTATCAATTGATTCACAAATAGTTTACAGTTAATGATCACTGACCCATGATACTAATGATGTTGATCATCATCATCATCATGTAATCACAATTAACTTTCTCGTGTAAACAAGTAAAACTATTTCAATGGACATCGTCAAATCAAAGGATTCAACAAGCGTAGTCATGGTAACTTAATGAAAAGAATTGACAATAAAAATGTCAACCTATTATTAAGAAGATGATAAAAACAATGAACAACATTGACCTTAGAAGATAAGTAACAATTAAGGTTATTAATATGATATTCAGGTAAAAAAAAAGAGGTTGAATAAGAAGATGAGAGAGGAAGAAATATCAGAATCCAGATCAAGAATCTTTTTCCAATAATCGAGAAAGTTATTCACTAAATCATGAATTCTCAACACTAACTTATCATGTTAGTAGTATTGATAATAGACAGAAACTGTCATTGTCTCTGATTCTCATAAGATATTTATCAACAATCAGATTGATGATTATCGTTTAGCTTTTATCATGAAAATGAGTTTTATTATATTTATGGGCTGAGTAATTTTCAGATAAAAGTACTCAAGTTAATCATGATAATTTATTGTTATTATTAGTTGGATATTAATATACTTGGTTAAGTGATTACATGATTAAAGAATGTAAATATTTATTAATGACAAGCTAGTTGTATGTTATTAAGTGTATTCGTGTAGCAAGTAGCGATAATATCTTATTATTTTCATGATAAGCTTCAGGGGATTCATTTCATCAACCAGAAATAAGATTAAACTTTTTCTTTACAGGTAATAATATATATTGGAAACTTAAATATCTCCTATTTGAATTAGTGTTTCGATCATCACTTGAACGGAATCTTATCAAAATATTTATACATTTGAAACTTTTTGTTATTCTGTAGCTAATATTGGTTATGATTATTTTGTAGAACTTTTCTTTTTACCTTCGAAATTGAGTTTCTATTAATCGAGTTTGAGTAAATCAATAGTCGAGGAAGTGATGGCCAAGTTTACTTTTCTTTCAAATTCGAGGCTTTATTTTATATACTAGTATATATGAAAGAATCACAAAACGATAAATATTCAATTCTTATTAATGATAAAGTAGCAAATGTCTACACATTAACAGCATCAATGACAAGTTTGATTGAGAAGTTGATGAAACAGTTTCTCTCTCATTTCCATGACAATAACAGAAACAAATGAAAAAATATATCGTTTAAACTGTTGATGAACAAAAAGTTCTGCCAATGGGAATGTTGAGAATAATTGTATCCATATGGAAAATATCAAATTAGATCAATCAAATGTATATATTATTCCTGTTGGAATTTTTATCAACTGTATAACAGATTAATATTGAACGATAAAACTGAATATTATTAATAGATTGTTTTTCTTGGTGAGTTTTGTTCAACTTTTCAAAAGTAATCATTCAAATTATTATTGTTATTGGAAAGAATAAACTTGTAAACATAATCATATTTAAACCCGAAAAACAAACTGAATCATTTTGGAAATATGAGGATTCAGTTATCTTTTTATGTAATCATTTTATTCAGTATAATTTGTATCAAAACAAATTCTATTGCTCAGATTACAAAAGCAATTTTCTGGAAAAATCTCGAGGCAACTAATAGATACTTACTAGTTATCTATTATATATTAATAATTTATTCAAATTCTTCTTAATTGTAACTGAAAAATTATCAGATGTAATAGACTTAAATAGCAGATCAGAATTAATCAGAATAAGTTCATCAGTGAACTGTATTTACAAGATGAGTCTGAATGCTGAAGGTTTCAAATTGTATTTGAAATCATGATGAGAATGTACTTTCAATGGGAAATTATTGGAAGGAAAAAAGTTCAAAATAGAAAGTGAAAAAAAAAGAAATAAATATTTTCGTCTCAATTCAGGATATGATACATGATGAAATTTGATTCTTAACAATCGAATGACCTTTTGGTTAATTTTGCAATATTGATAAAACTGATAGACAAAAAAATCCTCTGAGTTTGAAACTTTATCTTTCGTTAAATCATCAGTCGCACTTGGATTGTTTGTCCTTTGTTACCCAGGATAAGCTCATGTTCATTGTGTATACATGATGGCTATCTAATAAGTCTGATGCAGGTAAAATGCTTGACTGAATACTCATAAAGAACTCTGTTTATGGATAATTGAAAAAGATGGACGAAATGTGCTATTGATATGATGCAGGTAATATCCTTTTTCCATGAGATGAACTTTCCTCATTCTATTGTTTACCATTACATTACATTGTATCAAGATGAAAATTCAGTCTTTGAATCTTAATACTAATCTCTTGGGATAATAGGGAAGATAATGAAAAGATAACTTGTTGATTCTAATCAGAACAATTCAAGTCAATTCGTGATTATTTCTTACATCGATAAAATTGTTGATTCTGAAAAAAAGTATTGACGATTATTAATGAGAAAACGAAAACCAATGATAAAATCAATGTAATACAAATCCATTAATCCGATAAGATGAGCATAGTTCTTACCTGAGATTTCATGGTAAATCTCACAATTCTCACAACTCACTTATCGACAATTCAAATGTTACCAAAAAGTCAAGAACATAATCTCTACTGAACCTTCATTCAGTTCGCTAACCAACTGAACAGAATAAATGTTCAAAGTCTATGAGATCGATTGTTTTTTTTTCATGGAAGAAAAAACAAACAAAACCGATTTCAGATCAAACATTGAATTTAGAAAATTCAATTTCGAATCATATTCACATTGTTCAACAGTCTATAATCTATCCAAAGAATTTTCATCCTTTATAATTGTAATAACATTTTCATAACTTTTTCCATAATTTTTACCTCTGGTTAATTAATTTTTCTACAAATATTTACAATTCTATTGATTCTTTCATCCCACAGATTGGATTGAATTATTTCCATCAACAGATACAATCTTTTCGTTGTCTGTTATTATTATTGATTGGTTGCTGTTTTCTAAATAATAACTTCATATCTTGCATATCGTTTGCTAAGCCATCATCAAGCTTACAAGCTCACGGTAATAACTACAACCATCTTCGTCGATTTTGGGTTGAAACTGATGAAACATCACCAGTAAGCTCAATCAATCAACATCTATCAACATCAGATGATAACTTTAATCCTCAATTAAGCGCATTAATAGTAAATGGCCAGAAATCAAATTTACTAACTGATTCAGATAATAGATACGAGAAGATTTACTTGAAATTCATCTCATCCCTTCCAGCAGTTCCAAGATACCCAAAGTTTGTTCCTAAATTTAATAAAAGGTTTTTTCTGACAGGTAAGGTGATCATCAACTATAAATACAAATAACTAAAGTTAGACTGAAATCAGAATCATTTGCAATTCAACTGTTTTACTTGATATCGTGGATATGAAATGTATTACAATGTACCAAATATCATTTCTCTCTCTCTCTCTCTCTCATAATGAGAAAACTCAATTGACGTTTTTATTGAAATAATCTGGATAATCAACCATTTGTGACACAATACTGTGCAAATTACTGCAATTATCACTTTATATTTACCCTGAATCTGTAATTATGTTCTCAGTGATAGACACTCACTTTTCAGTGCAAAGATTAGCAGTTTACTGGGTTATAATTATCACTAGTTTTTCACTTGATTCACTATTCTTATAATAGATGAACAATAGTGAGATAAGGTCAACCATTGATGAAATATAAATGGTAATGTATTGTTCACCTAAAGGGAAGTCAGAGTCTAAGGAAATTAATAAAGGAAATGAATACCCTATTTATATAAATTGGTCACTCCTGGCAATGGTCAGTTGATTCCAGATTACTGTAAGAGATGAAACAGTTTCTCAAATAATCCAAGTTCACTTATCAGAATAATAATTGCATCTTGTTCAATATTAGCACAAAGATGACAAATACAAATAAGAATCTTCAAATATCGGACAATAATTAATATCTCTCAGTTTTATTTTCTTTCTTTTTCTATTAATGTTTTTACTTTTGCAGAGTCAGTGACCAAAAGTGAACCAAAGTTCTGGGAGGATGATCAATATGAATCTCCTGCAAGAGGAAGAGGAAGTTCTAGTGTTCAAATGTTAACAAAAGCAACAGTAACTGAAAGAATTCCATACAACCTTAAGCTTTTAGATGTTGATAATAATTCCAACATTAGATCATCTTTATCTGAAGTTAAAACATCATCACCATTAACTGTTCCGAGTTCAGAATTTACCGAGTCTCCAACACACTTTGGTTTCTTACAACATCCTCGTTCACCTCTTTCGTCGTCTTTTTCATCCATAAACTATGAAGATAAACCTCGAGATCGAAGCTCATTCCTTAAACGTAAGACCTGGAACGACATTCTATCAGATTTTACAAGTAGCACATCGACAACTTCATCCCCTTTACATTTATTATCTTCCTCGAGAGCAAGAAAACGACATCAACTGGCCAGTGATTTTTTCACCAAAGAACCATCACCATCAACATCAACATCATCCTCTCCAACTTACTCTCAACTGCTATCGGAGAGTACAAACGTAGCCACAGATACAACTCCTTTTGACAATTGCCGAACGATAGTTAAACAGATCACCGAAATACCAGGAGCTAGACCCAAGAAGATTGTCAAGCTAATACGAACTCGAAGAGGTTCAGTTCCAGTTGCAGTTGGTTCAACAGGGAAGCATCTTTTAACTATGTACATGACAAAGAACTGTACTGATCCAGCTCAGAATTTTCAGTTCTCTGATGTAAATCCTGATCAATATACTAAATTATCATCAGGAGTTCATAGTTCAAAGACGATTAAAGGTGAGCAAAGTTCATGATTGGTTCGAATATAATTAGAAAGATAATCAATTTAATTCACTCTGATTTCAATAACATTCAGTAATTATTCTAATGATTATTGTTGACAATTGATTTAATTCTAACAGCATGAGTGATCATGACAGGTCTATTTTGCAATTGTTTTATTGTCAAGTGATTAGTCGAAAAGATTTAGTTTTTTTGATTATATAATTTATTGTAATTAATCAGAATCCAATTATCACACATTGGGAGTTATATGATATTCATTGAATGTTATCGGTTAATTCAAACGTTAAAACCAAAGGAAACCCGATTGTCAAATAGTGTCTAATGAGAATTGACTTGTGAAATAATTACAACCTTAATATTATTAATGAGACAATTTAATTGATTAAACAGTTGTACCAATAGAGATCATGGTAATTAGAATCATGGTATCTATCTGAATAATTAGCTGGTTGGAGATTTTATTATTATTACAATTAGCACAGCTTCTAATTGCAAAGCAAATGATTAGAATCGTGATCAATGTAAATCAGATGAGGCTCATTGTAAATCTTTTACCATTATAACGATTTGGTCGACTGTGAATTTAATTGAGAAGCAGTTTAATACTCATGATAGACGCAGAATATTGAGTAAACCTTAATAGTTATTTGTCTAGTTAATATTTGATATTTCCGATGGAGACTTGACTATCTTGAGCTGGAACTTCAAATCAATATTTGGTAAAGATGACAAGAAACAGGAAGTCCAATGTAATAATAATAACCCGGAGACTTTTACTACTGGCCATGAAAGGTAGATGAGGGCAAAGAGGACTCCAGATTCTTAATCATCAGTATGACCCTCATCATGAGCTTTTTCATATGTTTTCCATTGCCTTTAGGGTGTAAATTTCATTCAAAAAAAAGCACAAATTCATGTTCATTCAATTTACTCGAAGATAAAATTGCAAGTAAACAGCCACATCAAGTTAAAGAACAATCTTTTTTTAAATTAATTGCAATAAGCATTTATAATCAAACATATAGCAGAATATTATTTCTCATCTCAAGCTATGTAATGAAAGATTTGCAAACTGGAAAATGAGTACCCGCTGTTAGTCATAAGAGAATCGCGATTGAAACAGTAATTTGTTAGCTACAACTAATAGAAGCATATAACGATAGTATTAGTCAATTAGCTATACGAAAGTATAATGGTTTCCATTTTAACTCAACTTCCACAGGAATAAGTATAACGCCTACATGCTGGGATGATGGAAATATAATAATTCTCAGCACCCTAGTGAATGAAATATCTCTTCAGTTTAGAAAGATATGGAAGAGAAAATGTATCATATGTTGAATGTGAAAACGGAACAGTAGCAGATTAGTTTGGATAATTTTTTCTTTTCGAAAAAAAAAACAAAAGTTTAATAGAGTAAAATAGCGATGATTAAAAGAAACTTTGTCAATTTGAGTGGCGGAAAAGTCTTCAGAGAGAAAATTATATACAAAAATAATAAGAACAAGTAGTTTCTGTCATTTACGTTTTCACCTTTGAGAGGATTTCCCATTCAATCTGAGAAATTGAAGTGAGAAGATCCTCAATGAGTATTACAAGTATTATCAGAGGATTTTTTTCTGTCATGATCATCACTAGAAAATATCAAGTAGAATAGAATAGCAAGTTTATATTTTATCATCGTGAACATTTGGCTCATAATTGTTATAAAAGTGATGCTTGGTTAAGATTTTACAAGTTAACATATTCATTTCTAGGTTATATTCGTGAAGAAAATAATAATCATCTTGGCAAATGATGAAATGTCTTCAGGTAACATTGAATATGGTGAAATATGGATGATGAATATCTTCATATTTTCGCCTCAATTTAACGATTATTTCGCTTTTTCACTGAGTATCATAGTGTGTAATGAACTAGTTCATTGAATACACTGATACTCTGTTTACTGTTGCTATTAATTATCGATCGACGATTAATTAATCATGAAACTCTAAGGGGAATTTCTCTCTCTCTCTCTCTCTCTCTATCACTATCTACAGTACTGTTTTTTATTCCTCAAGGAGGTATTAGAATATATTTAACTAAGTACTATTAACTCGAGGTTGAAACATTTTCTTACTTTTTTCTTGTATTTTCTGTTTCACTTCCTGGTTTCGTTACCGGAAGCTCAGCCAATTTACGCCAAAGATCATATTAATTCAAGAGAATTTGATAAATAATAAATTTCATCATAATCATTAGCAAATTGAAAAGTCAACCATTATCATTACATGTAAAATATTTTGATGGTAAACTTTAGAACTGTTAAATGCTAGAATCAACTAAAGTAAATGTTAATACATGTGCCTTTTAATTTGTGAATAGGCAAAGTGCACCATGTATTATTGTATAAATATATGAATCCTTATACGAAAATGGGTGGACTAAATGCTTTTGTTAATGATGTTAACCATTAAAAGAATCCATTTTTCAAATTTACTGTCCCTTGTCAAAAGAGTAGCATTTTCATTAGGAAAGACAATTATGTCATCTTAATACATAATATATTTATAGCATTCAGTATTCATTTGACGACTTTGATACAACAATTTATCATCAATTTGATTCTTCCGGTTAATACGAATAACAAAATCTAAATGTTTCAATGTTGTTTCATTTGATCAATGAAAATGTTTCCAGTTCCAATATATGAGCCAATTGAGAAAATTTGATTATCTTCTAAATACATTGGTAAAGAAGAAGACAATTTAATGGCCAATTAAATTATCATTGAAAGACAATGAAAATTTCCTTCAAAATTCACAATTTACATAATAAAAACTTGACAGAACAAAAAAAAAGAGAATTACATTAGAATATTATCATTTACCAAGTCATTTATATTAGAACATTTTTGCTATTCGAAATTTTATCTGAAGAGAAAACAAAAACTTCGTAACAAAGATGGAAAACTTTTCTTTGACTTTGTTTCAATTCTTCTTTTCATGTGATTATTATTCGTAAATCAGAAACAAAGAGATTAGGATTCGAAATACAAAAATATCATCTATTTGATTCATTTTCTCTGCTCAAATTTAATAAGAACTCACATTAAATTGTTATTCAAATTGTTAAAAGAAACACAATTATTATTAATTTTTCATTTTCTTTACATTTATTATTTAGTTTCAATCTATCGACACAAATCACAAAATCACCTTAAATCATTCCCTGGAGCCGAGACGGAATTGGATTCTGATTACTGATCTATCAACAGCATTGTAAAAATATTAACCAATAAAAGCAAATAAACATTAATTAAAAGCGTTAAATTATCATTCTAATTTCATTCAAACGGTTCAGTCAGAATTTTCGTTGACCATGAATCTGCCATGGAAATATGATTACCTTTATCTAAGTTGATATAAATAGCTTTTGGATTAATATTTAAGTAGTAATAAGAATTTATCAAGATACTTTATCATAGTTATTTTGATTTGCTATCACTCAGTTTATCATTACGATTCCATTGGATTCTCATGATAACATATGATTTGTATTACATGGGTTTTTGTAAGTTCTCATGATTAATTGTTGCTTTTTTTGTACTTATGATGTTTATATCACTCATTTGGTAGCAAAAAAAATTTAAAGGCAAAAAAGTCAAAACTGTTTCTCAATATATTACCAAAGATTGAGGTGGAATAGTTATCCAGGAGAATTTTATCTCTATGGAACTTTTTTATCTTTCATGATATTTTTCCTCCTCCAAATCAGAATTAGGATAACACATCATGTCTCAAATTTACTCGAAACTATCAAATCTATAAAATCTGATGAAATATGAAAAAAATTATCCCAAACTCTCACTGTCATCGTTATAATGACTTTTAAGTCTCTTCATCTTTATCTCCATCATAATGATGATCTTCATTATCAGAAATATTATTTTTCTTTTTTTCTACAACTAGTCTATTCTCTCTCTCTCTCTCTCTCTCTCTTCCGCATCCTTTCTTTTTGTTATTCATCTTTATTCTCCATCATCATTATAATCGACGCAGTTGCACTGAATTCGAGAGTTAACTTAGCCACATACACCCAATGCTCACTTAATCTGACTCACAGAATTTCTTGAATCACTTTTTTTCTTTCTTTCTGGTTTATCCTTCATCTCAACGAAATTTTTATATCTACAAAGTATTTTCATGTCATCAACAGAAAGATAATATTTCAATATGTTTTTCGTTACAAACTAAAAGTTTACGTATTATACGTCACGTTTATAACAAGTGATCCACCTATTTGATTGCGAAAAGTTTCCCAATACAATCCAAACATTGAAGATTAAGATTAAATTTATAACTTGAGACTAATCTTTCCTTTAATCATTTACATTGCTCATTAAAAGTACACTATAATCTCATCATCATATGAGTCTAAAGCTAATTAATTTACAATCAAGTTAAAGTATTGATTGAAACACCATCTCAACATAATCCTCGAGCATCAGAGTACGAATGGTTAAAAATGTGACTGGAATACCAAATATACTTACAGTTAATTATAATTCTCAACTTCAAGCAACACTAATAATCAAAATTACGTTTTATCATCAAAAGAAAAGTTTTAAAATTAAATTTACATTTAATATTGAGTTTGGTTATTAATTTGTGGCCATAATTTTTAAAAATGAAAGTGTTTAAGTAAATGAAAAGTTTACTTTGTATCATATCACATTTAGATTGAGTTATCAGAGTATATTAATAAATCCAACAACAATCGACTTCCAACCAACTTCGATGTCTTCACCGGGCTTGAAACCACTCGAAATGCTGGAAAGTTATATTGAGGAGGGTTTAACCTCTTCTCGAACTTGTGACCCACCAATTGATATAAGTCAATTTAACTTTACCTCGTATGATTATGAACGACCCCATGGATACTTTAAGCAATTCAATTTTAAGGATTATTGTAAAATAATTTTCTCTCTGTTGGTTATTATTGTTTCGGTGATCGGTAACATTGGAGTTCTTTTTTCTTCAACTTTTAACAGGTCAATTCGCCACACTATTCACATCTACCTTTCAAATCTTGCGATCGCCGATCTGTTCATCTCCATATTCTGTATGATTGTTTTTCTCATTAACAATTTAACTTATCCGCTCTTCGTACTCGGCCCAATTGTCTGTAAATTAAATGCTTTCACTCAAAGTAAGTATTCACCTCAATTACCATGAAATCTTGACTTTTCATGGTATCAGATTGAACTTCATGTAATTTACCATTGAAATTGAGTTATAACTCGCTTATGAATTGCAACTTTTCCCTTCCAATGTGATTTTTCCGCTGAGAATAATTCTCAACGACATCATCAAACACCATGTGTCCTGTTTTATCACCATGCATTATCTAGGGTATAGTTTGGAATAAGTTTCAATGGAAATTTACTGAACCATAAAGAGACAAGTAAAGTTTCAATCATCTTCAATCAATTTCCATTTAATTGATAACTTTGATTTAAAACTTTCTCTCCATCTCTCTTTCTTTCTTCCCTTCTTTCTAATTCTTTAATCAATTCAGTTTCATTATATTAATACTCAGAGATTCAATTTATCTTATTCGATTTCTCGACATTACCTGAATATCAATCAGCATCAATTGAGATGATCAGAAAATGACAAAATCTCTTGACACTCATACCAATCATTATATGAATTGAGATCGATGAAGATGATGAACATTCATCTCTATTGTTATTAAGACTTTCTTTTTACTTCTCATGATAAGTTTAATAGTCTTTTACGTTTATCTTGAATACTTTGTATCATTTTGTCACTGAATCAACAGATTGGTAGATAACGGATTAGAAGATTATGAGAATCCTTAATATATCAAGTAGTTTAATTGTTATCAGAATTTTTTATTATCATTGCTTGTACAATTTCCTGTTTATGCTAGTGAACAAATTAATCTTGTTTATCTATTTCCAAGTAAATCACAAGGTTTATGTTCATATTGCCATTAAGTTAATGTTTCTCCTTTTCCCCTATTCTTGTTTTTAATGGTCAATCAAGTAAATCTTTTCGGTAAGTTAATGAATCAGAGCAATTTATTATCATTAATTGGATACAATGAGCCAATGTTATCAATAAATACATGAAAGTAGTTCAAAATTTAATGACTGGATTTGCATTAGTTTATCTATCATTAAATTGTTCAAATCAATAAGATACAGGAATGTATATTAATATTAATTGGATATGATCAGCAGGGAGAACTGAAATATGAACAATCAGAATTTTCTCACCATAGAGATTTTTTTTCCAAAATTGCTACAGAATATGAAACCAATTTAGTAAACACAATCCAATTAATTCCAAGCATAATATTTAATTTGAGAACAGCATCAACCTTAATTAATGATTAATTAACTTCATTGATTTTTTATCACAATTAAAAGCAACAATTAAACCAATCGACCAACATTCAACTTTGATAAACAGTTAATAGTGACTAGAATTAAATGTAGGAGGATACAGAGTTAATTATCATAGAATTAAAATCTTGAATTTTCTTTATATTTTTGTAATTTATATAACTTATTAAACTACATAATTGTATCATTAACCAGCATGCGATCTGCGAGTTAATTCTGAACAACGTTTTAACTCATTGACCTTATAATTTATTATCGAATTAGTTACCTTGTTCTGTCATAGAATATCAGTGTGGATCAGATTGATGAGACGAGATTATTCACACTATATTAATAATAGAATTCAGGTTTCAATTGGATTGACACGAGGCCCGAAGATGTGATCCACCACGCCAGGCTCGATACAAGATCACATCTTATCCACCACTAAATCTTTGTTATTATTAGCTGATAACTTACTGAACAATGATTAGAACTAACAAGTCAGAGAATTGGAACTTTTACTAAGCGAAACTGAAATATTCGTTTTACACATTTAGTAGTTTAATAGTATATTGAGAAAATCGAAATCGCGAAAACCAGAGTAAGAATTGGTTTTGCTTGTTGTAGCAATTAGCAAGAGCTTTTAAAAGGGGAAATCAGAGATTTCAAAACAAAAGGGAAAAATAAGCAATTAAATTAAATCATGCTAATGATAAGAAGTAGAGAGATAAAAAGTTAATCATAAGTCACTAAGATTACGAGAATTAGTTTTTTGATTAGATTAATGAAGCAAATTGAATGATAATAAGATAAACCTTTGGCTTTTTAAACAATTAAAAAGAAGGTTAAATAGACAGAAAAAAAGAAAGAGAATTTAGTTCTCTTGCCAATCTAACCATATTTAAGGAAAATTAAAAAGAGATGAAAATTATGGTAGTTAACCTAAAGTGAAGTAGTTTCAAAGAAAATTCAGAGAAACTTAAATGTGCCTGAAATTAAATTGGCGTTGAAATCATTGAATGATCCAAATAATCGGGATTACAAGTTTATGTTTCCTACTCTTCACCAGTCAATCATACATGGATGAAATTCAATTTAAGACATCCTGAATACGAGAAAATAAGTAAGAGTTTCCGTGAATCTTTAATATTTTCAGTCAAAATGTTAGGACTTTAGAACTTTGAAATTTTATCAAAATAACTGCCGCCTATCACAGCAAACAGAATTTTCTATTTAGTTTTCAAAACAATCATCTCATTTTGATAGTTCCATTTATATCTTTTTCTCATTCTGTTGTACTAATATTTGAAATTGATTGAGTGAATGGTAACTTTAACTTTATTTCTGAGTTACATGTGAATAGATTTTCATGAACTGTTTCTTTCCCCTTTCTTGAATATCAAGTTGTACAATTGAACTTATAATGATTGATCATATCACTGCTAGAACCGAATACCTTGTGACAATTCTCATGGTGATTATATTCAACTTCCATTAGTATCATATCTTCCCTTCATTGCAAAGATATTCAACTTACAAGAGAGTTGACCATTGGCCAGTCAAGTAGGAGGAAAAAGATGATGAAGATAAACTGGATGAGACAGAAAATCTTATATGAAATGATAAATATTACGAAACAAAATGATAAAATAAATAACAGAATGCCAGAAATGTTGGAATAATATGAGATACAAAAGATGTAAAGAAAAAAAGGGAAGAAAAAACCTTTTTCCGAATATCATTGTAAGGAAATTTTGAGAGAAAAACTTTTGAATAAAACCGAGGAAAAAGCGAGAAAGGAATAAGCATTTCTCAGTAACTTTCACCGAGTTACCAAGAGGTTAATCGAGTTCAATAGATTAGTCAACCGATAGATCAAATTTTTCAATTCTTTGTCAATGAATTTCAGAATTATCGTTAAGTTATCAGAACAATTAGCCAATTAGCTTACTCATTAAGAAGACAATTAAATATCCATAATTAGTTTGTTTTTCCATGAGTGAAGTTTATGTGTAGTTAATGTGTAGTTTTTAAAATGTCTACAACAGAGCGAGGACCTTATCAAAAAATAAGTTCAGAACTTAGATCAAAAATTATACAAGCTCTATCTAAAGGTGTTCAAAAAGAACAAATAATTAATTCATTTGGTGTGAAAAGAACAACAATTAACTCCATTCAACGTGTTTGGATTAAGGAAGGAAGGTCAGAAAAAAAGGTCAACAAAGGTAGACAACCAATTTTAAGTGATGACGATTGTCGACTAATTCGAGGTTGGATTGATGAAAATATTAGTTTAACATTGAAACAAATTCGAGAGAAAATTTCAACTGAACTGGGTAAAAATGTTAGTTTGTCTACTATCGATCGAGCAATTCATGGATTTTTTTACTCTTTCAAACGAGTTTCACTAATACCAGAGAAAAGAAATGACGAGAGGACAATTCAACTTCGATACGATTATGGCCACAAATTTGTAGAAATGTCACCATTTAGAGAAAAAATATTCTTCGTTGATGAGTATGGTATTCAGGTCAATTCTCGAGCTAATTATGGACGATCTGCTATTGGCTTTCGAGCAAATAAAAAGGTCAAAACAATTAGAGGAAAAAATTATAGTGTTTGTGCTGCGATGAGTTGCGATGGTTTATTTTTTTTCGAAGCTAAAAATTCCCCTTATAATGGTGAACATTTCCATATATTTATTGGTCAGTTGTTCGAATACTTTCGATTAGAAAATATTGAAAATGCTTTTGTTGTAATGGACAATGTGAATTTCCATAAAACACAGGAAGTTCGAGAATTATTCAGAAATAGTAACCATGAGCAAGTTTTTCTTCCACCTTATTCCCCTATGTTAAATCCAATTGAGAATTTATTTTCTCAATGGAAAATGCGATCAAAAGAGCGGAGTGTCAAAATGAAGATGAATTGTACTCGAAAATTGACCAAAGTTCAACGATAATTACAAAAGAAAATTGTCTCAATTATTTTCGTAATATGGAAAAATATATCACACCATGTTTACTTAAACAAGTAATTGAAAATTAAAGAGATAAATTAGTAATTTGAACCATTTCTTAATTGTCTTCTTAATGAGTAAGCTAATTGGCTAATTGTTCTGATAACTTGACCAAGTGAATTGATAATCTGCGAAATTCATTGACAAAGAATTGAAAAAAACTCTGCCATCTATCGGGTTGACTAATCCTAATGGGAACTCGACTAACCCTCTTGGTAACTCGGTGAAAGTTACTGAGAAATGCTGTAAGAATCTTTCACTCTTGAATTCTGAGGGAAAGAGATAACTGATAGTCAAAAACATTAATGTCCGTTGTTTGGAACCATTACTATTATCTAATACTTTTTCTTCTCAAAGTGATACTATCACAATCTATCGAGAATGAGAAATTCAGTAGAGAAGAAAATTTTTCGATAATTTTTCCAAATACTTAGGGTGTAAAAAACGAAAATAAAGATAAGATTTTTTATATATAAAAGAACGAAGGGAAAGTTCATTCATTTCTTCTTACTCACACCCACAATTCCTGATATCATGTACACCATCAAATTCCAACCATTAAAATCCAAGCTCTTATGTATTCCAATTTTAATGGTACATCAAATCGTTGAATTTCGGAATCAGGTATTTAGCCTTCTACCCTATTCAACTTTGTTCATGGTTCGAACTTTTCGACTTTTTGACCCAACTATTATTCCATATCCGCCAATATATTGTTCTTAGATAATATGTTATAGAGAGAAGCATTAATCTCTTATGTTTAATGTTCAATATCAGATAGAAATGAAAATTCTTATTGACCTCAACTGAAACACAATATCTTCATCGACATGAACATTGTTTCGAAACATTTTTCATATCTTTCACTTTCCTTCGTTGACTCAATCCAATTTTGATTCCAATCCTCGATAGAGTAGAAAGTTAACTATCGATGAGAAAATTGGGAATGAACATTAACTTCTCTAATAGCTAACAAAAGGTATGTGAATATGAGACCATTCTGTTTGGAGTTTTATTTGCTCTTTTTATTGGTTTCCACCTATTTATCATCCATTGATCACGACGCCCATGATCAAATTTTCGTCTTCTCCTTATGAGTTTCGTTACTAACTCGAAGTTTAAATCATAACAATAATTTTTTTGTAGCTCAATTTCGTCAAACGACTGGAAAATTGTTGAACTTTCGATGGGATCAGTTGAAATTCTGAAAAATTTTCACTAAAATTAAGATCATCTAGTTGTATCGATTTAGTTTATGAAAAATTTCTCTCAAAATGAGTAATTTTATCTTCATATTCACCATGATCTGATTGCTTGCTCATTCAATCGTATTCTAATTTAGGAAAATTGTCTGATTCGATTCCCAGCAATCATCGATCAAGGTAATAAATTCTGATTTTCGTTTCAGTTTCCTGTTAGTTATGATTAATAAGCAATTACTATTTATTGTATTTTCAATTCATAATAAAAGTAAATATCAAGGTAACTAATCTTGGGTGAAATGAGATTAATTTTCTCAGCTCAACAAAATGAACTTGTTAATAATTCAATAGATAAATCAATCAAGTTCATGATACGTGATTAAACTATACCCACTGACTTTAACCAAAGCTAACCTTTAACGGAAATTTATTCAAGTTATTGTTAAAATCCAGTTACAATAACATCAAAAAAAAGAGTTAATAAAAATGAAACCAAGTGATCTAGAAAATCAAAATGAATTCATTTCTAGAATATAGCAAATTGAATTGAATCTCATACAAAATATGAATCCTTCCAAACTTAAACGAAAAGATCATGAAAATAATCATGATCTTTAAATCAACTTTTAAATTAGTTTCATGCAGATAGAATGTTAATATTTATAGTCAAATTTCATGGAATCTGAAGCCAGATAAACTCAATTCTGATACACTTGGAACTTTCGTTAGCCTTTAAGTTTGACATTCAGTTTTATATGAGCATACAATTAATTATTCGAATGTTTCTTTATTGATTTATTTATTTACAGTGACAAGTCTAACCAGTAGTGTCCTTACGTTATCGGCAATCTCTTGTGATAGATTTATCGCCATCATGTATCCACTTCGGGTTCGAGTGACTAAACAGAGGACCAAAGCAGTGATTACAGTTATTTGGATAATTTCGTTAGCAGTATCGACACCATTTGTAATTGTGCGTAAGCATCTAGAATTCCAGGTAAAGTAAACTTTGAATTATTATGTAAATCGTACGAATGTTTTGATTAAGTTTTCGGATACAATTATCCTTCATACCATATCGTATTTGTCAAGAATACAAATACTTATGACCATCTTATTGATCTAATTGCATTTATGTTGTATAGTAAAATTACTGGTAGTCAAGCTTATTTCTAAATGTTTATTTTGTTAAGTGTTGATTTCTCGATGATATGGTGATTGCTCATCTCGAGATAAATCTGCAGACAGTCAAATAACTTGTTAACGTGAAATCATCCTAAAATTCAGCTTGAATATTGAATCTACACAAAAGTTTAAGAATAGAAGACTTGAGTATTGACTAAATGATTATTAATTTGTTTTTCTTTTTCGTAATTAATTTCGTAAAACCTTATGTTTGACCACAGTGGCGAAACTTTGTTGAGACGAATTGTCAAGAGATTTGGCCTCCTCATACCCATTATGATCCAATTAAGGAAAGGTGTCTAACAACATACCCATGGAAAAAGTATTATTATACTTTTGTTACGATTGCATTATTTTTCTTACCAATAGTTATAATGACTACAGCCTACGCCTTAATAATTTGGAAGCTTTGGATAACCAAACTGCCGGGTGAATCTAATGCAGCGTCAATTTGTGCCCAACATAGAGCAAAGAAAAAGGTAACAGATTTTATGTACTTTTTTATTGATTAGAGTTCATAAAAATCAGAGTAACGCAATGAGTTGTAAGATCAACTCGAGTAGAGAAAAATGGATATCTTTCTCCTACCCTCATCTCCGCTCATCTCTCGAACTATTAATAAATAATAAATTAATAACTTTTTAATATCTTAGGTTATCAAAATGGCTTGTATTGTGTTACTTGTTTTCGTGTGTTGTTGGGCACCACTGCAAATAACGTTGATCTACTCGGAATTCATTCACTCGCCTTCTGAACGAGGCCAAGTAAGAGACTCTGCTATATTGTAACTTAAACATTTATCATCAATTTTTGCATGTTATGAATAGACTTGATATTCAATTTGTTATTAGACCAAAAAATTGCATCAGCTTGGTATTAATTTCAAATATTAATATTATATATCGTTACTATCTGATCGTTTCATTATAAACTTTCAATTTCAGTTGCCTGGTTGGTTCAAACAAACTTCATATTTGGCGACCTTTGTTGCATATTCAAACAGTGCCATAAATCCAATAATCTATGGTGGATTTGATAAAACCTTTCGACAAGCATTTGGTACGTTTATTAGTTGCCATACTTTTAACCCAGTTCCTCGAGTTATCAGTAAGTATAAATATCCATCCAATATCCACTTGACAACTGCTGTGGGCAGTAGCAATAATAGAGAGAGAAAGCTCTTAATAAACGCTAGTAAAACTTTTACACGATCTCTTCTAGTATCTATTCACCAAATAACTCAGTAGCATCACTAAAGAATAGCTTAATCAGAATTCAACTAACGTTCATATCTTGAAGTTTCAGTTTTATTTTTGACTCCCTTCCCTGTCCCAGTTTCCATTGAAAATATTTTTCTCTTACCTTTTTCTTATCTATTTTTTCACATCTCTTTTAGTTGTTCCGGAAAAAAACACAAACAATTATTTAACAAATACTTACAATGCTAATCAATTCTGATAATTTTAATAAATTTGTGATAACACTGAATAGATATAACTACATTAAGATGTAGTTCGATGTAGTGAATGTTCAAGTAAAAAGAGTTCAAAACAAAAGCAATAATATTTATAAGAATACGAAATGTTGATATTCAAAGCTATATATTCAAACTATTTTTATCATAATTAGGCCTAATTTATAAAAATATTAATGAATTTAAAGTTGATAAATGTAAATAAAAGAGACTGACTCTCATTTACAATCATAATACTAATAGTTATACATTGGCATGATTAACAATTAATCTAATTTTAAACATTTTTACTATCCAACATTTGAAGATTATTAATTGTATCAAATATGAGCATAGATAAACAAATGCTGAATGTATTAATTAAAAACTCGAAGAAAAAAAGTTTTTTCTCTCCTATTTTGTCTTTCGAACTTTTTTATTCATCATTATCTATATACAGGAATGACCACCACTCCTGGGAAACCTAAATTGTTTAATGATGAAACAGGAACCAGGTCAAATAACAGCGGAAATGGAACTCGACTCGGGTCAACTTTTAAAACTTCAATAACTCAGGAAACTGATGCTCTTTGAGATATTTGACACAAAACCAAACTTGCATATCATGAAAAAATTATCTGTACCTTTGACTAATATCAGAATGATTAAAAATATTATGTATTGTGATAATCATATTTAATTATCAGCATTTATTCAATTGTGATTATTCTTACTAATAGAATTGTTATCCAATGGGAGAAATTAAGAAATATATTCAAAAGTTTCGGTCTCTTGTAGTTCTCTATTTAATTGCAGTAAATTTAACTTTTTGTTACAAGAATCTTGCAAAAGGTCAATTTTGGCTATGATTTGAAGGTCAACCTGCTGAATAAAATGAGCTAAATTTCAATTCAACTGTAAATCCTTTGAATTCGAAAACTCAGACTTTATCATCTAATGAATTCTAAAACCATCAGTTTGACTGGATCAAGTATTGCCATCTAGTCGAGATTTTTTCACCACTAACCTTCTCATATTTTATCATCAAAAATGCTCAAAGATGTCAAGGAAATCAGTTTTCTCTAATAGATTCTACAGCCACGAAAAATGAGCAGTAAACAAAAAGTATATCAATTGTGTGATAATTTATTCATTTATAAAAGTGCAGGTTGGATTGATATATTAATAGATGGAGAGAGCATCAAGAGGCTCTTTATGACTATCTGATTTAGCCCAATGCTCAGATTCTGTCGATATCCTTGCAAACCAAAGTCTCTAGAAGTTTTTTGATTTGCAGTTCTTTTGAACGAATGGGTTACCTTGATATCGTCAATGGAAACAGTAAAAACAATCTCATGTGATAAACAATCAAAAATTGACAAGGTTGACGTGATATTTGACACCTGTGCAATTTAAGGGGTTTTCTACTAATTTTTTAAATCAATTTGATTAATCTGAATTATGGTGAGTTTTTTAGATAAGATTATCTAATCATCACTACGATTAGATTACTTGTTGGTTATTTGAAAAGCACAGTGGAAGCTACGGCAAAAAGTTAATGGAAAAGGTAAAGCTCGGTTATTTTTCACAATCAGCTGACAATTAACCAACCAGCTGATATTTTAACCAACATTCAGCGAGTTTAATTCGGTTTTTCAGTTAATGGAAAAGCCCTTTAGTTAAATTACAACAATTAAGAGAAAAGTTTTTGCAAAATTAATCAGTTTTTCAATCTTCATCAATCATACTAATTAATCGTTGAGAACAATCAATTATCTTGAATTTTATTTAATACTAATAATCTAATAATTTTCGTGTTAACTTTTCAGTTATCAATTGCAGAAGCTAATCACGATTTCTATCATGATGATAATATTACAATTGAAACAATTTCATTGGATCGGAGAAAAACTTTACTAAATAGTTAACGAAAAGAGGCTTGAGAAGAGGTAACAATTGACTACGAACCTGTTTCACTGTTTTTCCTATTGCTATTCTGGCTCAGTAGATGTCAGCTCATGATTATCAAAATCTTATATTTCCTTTTACCGCATTCTCTTTGTAACTTTCATCTTCATATAGAACTCACGTTACTTTCAAGCATCTTTCGAAACTCCCAAGTTTTTGGTCTTTCTTTTTTCTTTTTTTCTTTGCTATTCTTATCAAAGTTCTATCGCTTTCTGATGAATGTTACAAGACATTTTTTCCAATATATATTCATTTCCTCAACTTATCTCTTTCATCGTGTTGATTCAATCAAACTAAACAAGATCAAATATACAATACAATCCATATTCTACGTCCTTTGTAACATTTATGCTTTATTTACTAGTCTATTTGCTTTATCCTTGATCATTTTCGATAGTAAAAGTAATGCTATTAACATTACTAATTATCATCTATTTGACAACATTGAATAATTACTCTGATTCGGTTGAAATCAGTTCAAGTTTATCAAAATCATCAGGAAACTTTTGCATTGACCCGACTGTCCTTCCAAGTCCGAGACCATTGACCGCTTTCGTATCATTCCCAGGTTCAGGGAATACATGGATTCGTTACCTTATTCAACAATCATCAGGTAAATTGACCAATTTCAATTATATTTAACTTCCCTGTCAACTTTAATATAAATGAATAAATATAAAGAAATGATGATCGATTCTTGATTGCTTCAAATTTGATTTATGATCATCAAGATTCATGAAAAGAAGAGAAAAAGTTTCTCCTTCTTGACATTCATGATGAAAATGTCACAATTTCTGTTCCTTATTTCTTTACAACTCTCATGAATACATAGATAAATATATTTCTATGAAAATTGTTCCATTATCATTATCATAATCACCATAAATCAAACTCATTATATTTCATCGTAATACCGAAAAGTACTCATCAATTTCAGCATCAACATCACCAGCTATCGAAGTCATTATAATACATGTATAATGAATGGAGGAGAAAATCAAAATCACAGAATTAGAAAAAAAAATCAAAAAAGTTCTGATATATGAGTTAACATGATGATGATTAAGATAATGAAAAAATAACACTGGTAATGAAGATGTTGATGATAATTATGATAATGGAACAGGTCTCTCTCTCAAGGAAGACAATGGAGGCCCTTCCCTGGGATGATAATAATGTTGATGATAATTATGATTAAGCCAATTATCATCATGTAATTTCATGATATTATAATACAACTAATGGAGTAAGTTGAATGGCATGAATAGTGTTACAGGGAGACTGGGGGAGAAAAGTTCATTTAACAGATTTATCATCCTACTATCTTCATTTTCATTCAACAACAAGAGAGTCTGAGAGATGGGATTTCATAAAGTAATGGGAAGATGAATGAGTGTATGAAGATGATTTTGATGATAGAATTGAAGAAGATAAAAAGTTCAATTATTTTATTATCAACATTATCTATACGATTTATGATAAATGAATGAGAGGATGAGGTTGAGGTGGATGAGAAGAAGATGATGATAATGATAATAGGGTGAGAATTATCAAGCTGAGAGAGAAACATTGACATAAGTCATATTCTAACCTTACATGGGAAAAGAAATCAAGAATCAAGTGGAAAAGAGCAAGTGAGTAAAAGGGGAATAAAGAAACTAGAATTTCAATCTGATGCTCATGATGAGAATTCTGAAGATTCTTTGATCCATTCACGTGTTTCTTTTATCATCCTAATCATCATCATGTTCATCGTCATTATTATCATTAATATCATGAAAGAAGCCAAATGATTTGAGCTTTGTAAGGTTAAATGTAATTGCTTTTTGAAAGATACTTTTCTTGATTAAGAGTCAAAGAAGCACAAGAACAGTTATAAGCTCAAACTTTTCGTTAACGGAAAAAAAGACACAACAAGATTCAATGAGATCTTTGGATTCCCTCAAACTCAATCCTAGAGCTTTTGCTGGAATTAGATTGAAGGCCAAGCAAAGAGAAAGAAAATTCTTGAAAAGATCCATAGAAGTGGCAAAGAGATGGAACAACTTGGAGTTTTGGAAAGAAGAAATAAAGAGAAAAACAGGAAAAGGAAGAAGGAGAACAGAAAAAAAAGTACAAAGGGGAAACGGAGAAAATGAAGAATAAGATATTTAGTGTTTGTTGTGATACTTTTTTTCTGCTTCATCTTAACACTTATCTCTCTTTTCTCATCTATTCGTGAATTGGGAGTAAAATCCTGTACCAAGTTCGAGGAAAGAGACAATGGATTTGACTTTTACTCGGCTAATGGGATTAGCTTGCTTCAATTGCTTTTACTTTTTCTTCATTATCATCATGTTCATCATCATCAGCATCATTGTCTCCATCTTCATCCTATGTTGTTTCTTTCTCTCTCTCTTTCTGTTTTACAGCTAAAATTACGTGAAGCGAATCAGAGTTTAACTATTGTACCAATTGTAACCCTCTAGCATTCAATACAATTACAAGTCGTGTAATAAGTGAAAGTGATAAAGATAATGATGATTAAGAAATGAACAGATTTAAAGATTCCCACATTTAATCCAACACAAAATACTTCCGGTCTCAGAGATGATGCATGAAAATACATTTTACTATTACATTGATTCATTAACGTATTCCACTTATCCAGATACTCTCAGATTACTATCATTATTATTTTCATTACTGTTTAGTTGAATGAATTACTTGGAGTGCAAATGAACTTTAAATTTTCCTCAATAACAAAGGAAATGGAAAATGCTAAGTCTTTTTAATTCTAGTCAATAGTTTCATCTTAGGTTCATTTCATGGTGAAGGAAAACATTGAACAAATTCTGATGAGCAGTAAACCAAAACTTTAGACAAGTTGAGGAATAATTTTTCCTCAATCTTTTTTACCCTGAGATTGAAATTTTTTGAATCTCTTTCTGAATATTGTTGGAAATTGAATTAATTAAATTGAACAGCATCAAGTCAGTTAGAAGATGATGATTCTGATGATGAAGATGAAGATGATGAGAAAAATTCTTTTGTTCACCTTTCATTGTATTCAGAACTTTTTTTGAGAATCCTCGGAAGATATCACAGTCACCGAACAATGTTCCAATATTTTTATCCATCAAGCATAATAATTCAAATTATTTTCCATCATCTTCCACCCACCGCCACCCTCTCTTTTCACCTTCCCTGTTCCCCTTTTGTATTCCTGACAACCTTTGAATCGGAATAACAACATTGGTCTCTCATGGTTCTGATGAATAATATAAAGCCAATGTAATACAAAAGAGAAAATCTTTTTTTCTACTCTGTCGAATTTTTTTTCTTTCTCCTTTTCTTCTCCCTTCTAATACACAACAAATCATGAGTGTTCATGAGAGATGATTCAGTTCATGATTATTATTATTATCATTGCAATACATTTAAAGAAATCAATCTTTGTACACAGAGAAAGTGAAAAATATCTGCTCATGAATCAGATAAATTGTTCTGTTTATACCATATACATGGGAGAGAAACAACAATTGGAATCATATTGACCTAAAGATCAGTAGTGTCCAGTTTCAAGTGAACATCGTTTTTATATGAGAATCACAAAGGTTTCAGATTGAATATTCAATGAGATGGAAAAATCGGTTGAGAATAATAATGAAGATAATTGGATTAATGAGAACAATTTATTTTCCCAATTACAACTACACTTTCCCCTTGATTCTAATTACAATCGGAAATGATGATTAAACTGTTTCTTAATAATCTCTTTCATTCATCTTGTTTTCCATTCTCTCTTTCTTCATGATAGATTAAAGATAATGAACAACAAGTATATCATCTTGTCATCATTATCGATTATCGATATTTTCCTCTTTCATTCGATTTGTAATTCTATTGTTCCATTGAAATTCATGAATTCTCATCATGGGAAATGAACTTTCTCACCAAAGGGATATAAAAGGTTTTGTTCCCGGTCCATGAGATGTGTCAGTCAATCCAGAGATTCCAATGTTGCTCAGCCAAATAAGAAGGAAAAAAATATTACTTGTTGCCGATCGTTGATCAATCATAGTCAATCCAATAATCTGTTTGATTATTTTGATTCTTGATTCCGATTTAGTTACATTCAGACCAATGTCCAGTAAGATTAAGATGTGAAAGATTAAGTTGAGAAGATGATATTTGTTAATGTTTATTGTTTATTTTATCTTTACATCAATACATGTATTATCAGAAACACTATGAATATTACATTTGCGATGATAATTGCCATGAATATCTCATGATTCTGATAAAAGTAACAAGGTGACAACAACAACATAAAGTGAATAACTTTGATTACTCTGGATGAGAAGGGTAAAAAAGTAATAAATATGATAAATAGAAGAGAAAAGAAAAGAAAATCATGATAAAAGTTCATACAAAGGATATTATCCAAGTTGAAACTGAACACTATCATTATTTGGAGCTTATTTATTCACACAATTTCAAATTTCATGATTATCTGAACCTCATGAAAACTGGTGTCAATATAACTTGGTATTAATTGTAAATATCTCAAGGTGATGAGTTCATCATAAAATCTTCTGTTAATAATACTAACAAGAAGATCGTGAATCAAATAAAGTTTTGAGTCTATTGAAATTTCATATTTTATTTTAATGAGAGTAAAAAAAGTGATGAGGATGTTACACTTTTAGAATATCTAATGTTATTGGTTTACCTGAGATGATGAGAAAAATATGAAGAGAGAGAGAGAGAGATGAATAAACACCAAAAAGAATTATATTTTATTTTTCACCTCATATTGTATTGTCGAGTTCTGAGATTGTTCTGAAAACGATGCTTGAGGAAAAAGAGAAAAAAAAATTCTTTTTCATTTCTCTATTGTTTCATCTTGCATTATCATCTTTTATCTTCCAGCTCATTGTTACTCACCTTTCCTCCCTTGCACTCATCTTATTGTGTTTACTACCTTTTCACATCTTCATCCCCTTCCCACCCACTAGCTGATCTGATTGCTGTTGTTATTACAAGTTGCTGATTCCTGGTGTTTCTCATGAATCCAGATACATGATGATTCCTGATTCAGCTGAATTCAATTATTACCTTTACTTTTTGCTTCACTTTGTTTGTTTGTTTGGGTTAGTTGTTTGTTTACTCATTTCCTTTTTCTTTTTTTTTTCTATTCCAATATTTGGATTACATGTAAACAATTGCAAGCTTTAGATTCTCCTCATTCTCTCATCAGGGTTGTTCAACAACTTTTGAGATAAAAAGAGTGAGAGAGAGAGAGAGAAAAAAAAAGTTCATCTAATCAGAGTTTGGTGAAAAATCCATGATCATGGAGAAAAAGATTGAGAAGAAAATTTCAAAAAGGTAATAATTTTTTTCTGATGAGAATCAACATTTCCAACCTTTTATAATATCCATAGAGTTTCAAGTTCTATTTTTTTCTTCTTGCCACAAAACTCTGAACGTAGAAAATGAATTTCCAAGGTCTCCCTCAGATAGATAAAGATTTATATATTCTCCATCCTGAAACCTCCATGAAGGCGGTGAAATTTTTCATTCTATTTTCCATTTACCTTTCAATTCTAAAAATTCTGTATGCTCATTAAA